CTTGTTTTGTATCATAGGGTTATTCATAAATATATAGTGAGTGATCTTGTAATTTTAAAATAATACATTAGAGTGAGCATACTTATTCTGTGAGGATTTTGGATTAATAGTTATCTTAGAGACTAATCCCTTGTTTTGATTATCCCCTAAAAATATTTTCTTTCATTGTTCAAGTGTGCTCACTCTATCAGGTTTTTTGTAAATTTGTAAATAGCATTATATCATAACACTGTTTTATTTGGTGTTTCATAAATCAATAGGATTAATTGTTCCCATTTATTGTTGGGAAAGGTTTCTTACTTATCTGTAAACAGTCTGATATATTCCATATCATTTTCATATCAATGTATTCAACTCACAAACATCATTGGTTTTAACAATTGTGCTTTAATAATTTAATATAAGTTTTAATAATATAATACATAAGGACTGACTTTCAAACATTTGCCTCCTTTGTATTTCTACTTGAATATTTGTAGCATAATTCCTGAAATACATATTCTAGGCACAGCGTCAGTCAAACTTATTATGATATTTTTTAAATAAAACAGGAACATTAAATTTACAGAAAAGTCTATTTGTTTTGGGAATTTAAAGAATATTACAGTAATTAGTCTGTTGATGACCTATTGATGTCCTTGCGAAGAGCTTTTGATTTCAGTTGTTTCAATCTAATTTTGTGTTTTTGAATAACGTCCTTCACAAATGAAAAAGAACGAACTCTAACATACAAACTAATAATATTGTGGAGAACATCTTTGGCAACATGGCTACTAATCTCAACTTCAGAGTCGGCTAACATGGCAGAGTGAGATGCGACAACAGTTACATCATGCATTGATCTTGAAATAATATTAGCTAAAGGAATGTTTTTCAGACTGGTTTTACGTGTAGCTTCCCTGAAATAGTGTTCAGTTCTTTCAAAAACAGACTGAGCATTTCTTGTGATCTTCCACAGTCCACCTCGATTCAATGTTGTAGTCAATCTCTGATCTTCACCAATAGGATTGTCCCATTTCCCAGCCATTATCAGTGAGATTGCGTGGTCATTTTCTAGTGTTTTACTTGCTTGTTTGTGCTTGTTATGTAGCTTATGTAGTACATAACCTCCAATATACTGTAACCCTGACTTCTCTTTATCAGATAATTTCGTCAATGGTTCACATGTGTGAGTTTCTGCTTTTTCTTTGCTATGTGTTAAAAGGCAGTCGGCCACTTTTGAACAAAGTAATGTAGCAGAGTTTCTTGATAATCCTACAAAATGGCTCGAAGCATGCAAGACTATGCTAGCGTAAAAGGCTGCATAAAACCTCTCTGCATTTCCAGACTTTGCCAATTGAATATAAAGCCCCTGAATTTCAGAAAATTTAGGTGTTGAAGATTGTAGAGTGTTGCAGTTGTAGGACCATATCTCGTCTCTGTTTACCTTTGGATAAATTTTGCTGTCTCTAAGTTTCACTTTAGCATTGCCAACGATGCTTGCATACGTTTCCACAGTTAATAGATCTCGATTTTCTGGTTTGTCTGTCTCAGTTTCTTCTGTTTCTTCTGTTTTATCTTTGTGTTTAACAGTGATGTGACGTTTCAGTCCGCTCTTACTCTTGCATTTCTTTGGACAATGAGGGCAAGTGACGCTCAGTGGGTGAACCTGCAAAACCAAATTCACGATCAACATCACACACTACTTAGGTTCATAAATCATCTTTAAATCAACAGCTGATAAAATAACGTTTAGGCAAGAAATGGTTTATAAATAGAGCCCGAAATAAGAGTGATTGATCGAAAGCATGATGTCGAAAGCTAGTCTGTTCGACCTTCATGTTCAATCTTCCTTTTTGACGTTTTTAGGCTATATTTTAACTATTAAAACAGATTCTATAGCTTACATCAGCAGCTGCTTCTCTGAAGTGCTCATCAAGGTCTTCTTCTTCTTCTAAAACTCCTAAAATTGCCTCTAAATCGTCTCCAAAGAAGAACATGTCATCACACGCGTCCGCCATGTTGTTTTTAGATGCACGGTCAATGTCACGTGACGGTGCATCTCAACCTCAAAACCCAAACAATAGGCCGGTCCTTTGAAGTTCGCCGGCTTTCATAACCAGTCCCCTCGATTAACTATGGTAGGAGCCAATTACTTTATGAACCAGACAGTGGAGTTGACCTAAAATTTTATATTTTGTGCTTGCATACAATGGCAGGCATAGCTTATCCTCTCTCAGTTAATTGGCATTTTCTCAAAGTACCTTTCAACATAAAGCCCAAGAAGAAGGGGGCTGTCAGGCTAGCTTTGGAAATTTGACTGTGAGGGCAGTCCCCAAGGTAGGTATTCTGATTTTCTGTCATTGTCCCTTAGGTGCATGGGGAATTTTGGCAATCGTTATAAATGACCACACTCACTTGCCCTAAGGTAGGAATTTTGACACTTTTTACCAATTTCGGTGTCCTGACAAGGGTGGCAAATTTGACAATTTTTGGACAGTAAATATCAAAATCCCCAAACCTTGCCTGACCCCTTCCACTCCTGACCCCGTCTCGTGCGTAACATTGAAAACTACATACTCACACTGCAGGGGTATTTATTAAGTTTTTTTCCTCCGTTGTTTCTTCCGCTGAGGTAACTTTGACAGGTTATGATCATTTAAGTGACTTAAAATGCTTTCGACCTCGTTGGACATCTTCATCTTTATCAATTCCATTGACATTCCTGTACGAATGGAGGTTGTCGACTCCACGTTTCGGATCTCATGGAAATGGCAAACAAGATTTTCCATTAAACCGAGAAAGTGGCTTCTTTGCGTTAATCCAATATCCTTTGCCACTTTCTTTTCTTGGCGAAATTGAACGACAAGATCAATAGGGTCGTATCCATTTTCGAAATGGAAATACAAGTGAAGGGTGCAAAGAGCAGCGTAAGTTCGTGACCTCCCTCCCTGTGGCTTGTCGGGGGGTCTGGTTCACAGTCATTGAGGTTAGACGTAAACAGCTGTAGCATTCCTCAGCCTTCGATCCGAGTCTTTTAGTTCATAGATGTAGTTTGCAGATATGCCACGCACAACACCTTTTATTTCTTTTTCTTTTTTTTTCAGTTGCAATCGATTGAAAAAAGAAAAATGAATCGCGGTGTCCCAGTGCGTCACCTTTCCGTCTCTTTTTCCTCGCCTCCCCCTTCTCCCACCTCTCACGCCTCACACCTTAACTCCCCCCCACCCTTCCCAACTCTACCTGAATAAAATGATTCTTCCACGTTTAGTACTTTGATTGCCGGAAAAACATGGCTTCTCCTCGATGTAGTTGGGAAGTTTCACATTATCATGGTCATCATGGCGCAAGGACACCAGCACTCATTGTGCTAATTTAGAAAAACTTCACATGGTTAGCCAACCCACAGTAAATAGCTTTTATGATATCTTGTTGCAGAAACATGAATTCACCGTCAAAAATAATCTTTAAAAATATACGTCCGTACACACAATTGTGAACAGTGAAGAGGAATACGGTAGTCATAGGCTATAACGAAATCATGTGCTAAACCTGACACTGGACTATTTAGAAAAGGACAAAAAAAGACCTTTAGAACAATTTTATGAAGAAACCAGTCGATAAAAACTATTACTGAACATTACTTTCGCCAGGACAATGATATTTTAAGAAATAGTCTAGTATCATAAAGGTTGGCGGACGATCGACGTCGTGTGTGACTTGTGGTTGATTTGCTATATGATGTACAATGACACGACAACACAACTTAACGTATAAAGCGAAGATCCAGAGTTAGCAATTGATCGCGTTAAACCTCTGCGCAATTTGCAGGACACTTTTACAGAGTAGCGCTGACTGCCTGTTTACCATTTTAACAACATAATCCGTTAAGTCGCCTGAAATAATTACAACTTATAACTTTTCCTCAGCAATTCCGGCACGTGCTACTTCCGTTACGGGTGTGCAATTTCGTTATGGCCTCACAAAGGACGTATACTGATATATTTTACTTGATATCATACACAACACAAATTGGAAATTATGTGGCACATATTCACTATTTCACGGATGTCACCAAGATATGTTTTGCCTAAACTCTGTATAGCAAGGTTACACAATGAGATCCATTGCCATGTAAGAATGATAGGAGGTACATGGGTATATCTACATACATCACTACATACCATACATACACTTTATTTGGTATAGCAGGTTGAATTAAGGCAGCTAAAAATAGCTGATGTGGACCTGCTGTTATCGAACTTCCTTTCACAATATAAGAATTAAGAAATAGATAAAACCGCATGAATTCTATGGATAAGATCAACGATACAAATAAAGTTTGAAATTAAAAACTAAAAAATTTTTTTGGACGAGTGATGGTTACGTATGCAATGCTCAAAAAGCGTCATTTCAGTTCAGGAAGGATGGTCCGAATTGACAATGTACTAAAGGACGACGACCGAGTTCAGTATTTGGCTCATCAACTAGAGTATTCAAACCTAAGTTATATAAAGCGATAATTAAAATACAGAGTTTATGTAGATATTCGAGGCACCCACCCCACACTTGCTAATCTCTGTTTATCTATCATTCCCTTTGGTACAGATCGACAAAGATGACTAATGTTTTTGTTCGTGT